AAAAAAAATCCTTCTGCATTTCCTCTTGAGAATTTTACATTAAAACAGATAAAGGCAGCCAGCCACCTCCGGGCTTTCAGGAGTTTGTAAAGCAGATCCTGGAGGTACAACTTTCCCTCTGGTGCTTTATCCTCCACCAAGATCCAAGACCAGGACTAATTTCACAAGCTCGAATGCTAAAAGCTCAACGTGTCTAAAAAAATCAGAAAAACTTCAAACCTTGCATTTCAAGGCCTGGATCCATTCACTCTTCAAGGAGAAGGGGGAGGAATAGAAGAACCAGACTCATTTTCAAACAAGAGAGAACATGAGAAGTCCACATTGGGAAGTTTTTTTAAAATGAATTTGTAAAAGAGAACAGCACTTACCTGCTTGTGCATTTCAATGTTCAAGCCATAGGACATCTCATAGTACTAAAAGTAAAAAGAACGGCTATTAACAGACAGAAATCTGCTCATTTTTCAAAATCAGTTTTTTCTCGGAAAAGTTTCGGCCAAGTCATACTTTCATGATACATTTGCTAAAGAAGTTTAAATCAAACCCCAGAGCCAGCTTACAGAGCGGTTTGAGAGCTGACAAGGGCGAGTATTCCTCTCATTTCAACAGAACACTATATATTGTGGTAGTGAGGGGGGCTGGGCTCTCCCTCCTGCAAGCACCGCATGTGCCCTATATCCTGTTTATACAAGGTTCAGGTTCAACAGGGAATCGTGTGTACACTGGGACCCTCTTGTGCTCTGAGAGTTATTTAGCACTGTGTCGAAGGCCTCTTATGTGGAAGGCAGTGCAGGGAGCCGGGCTTAAGTGCCTCCCATGCCCTCTCACAAAAGATGATTAAAACTTGCTGAAGCAGACACTGGGCAAAAAACGGGAGACAGTCTGCCTACTGCCCCAGAGTGGACAAGATACCCAGCTGGGGGATCCCTGAGGAAGGGAGCGGGGGCAGATGGCTGTAAAGGCCTCTCCACTCCTCACAGCACCCTAGGGAAGGAGGGCTTGTCCCACTCTGGCTAGATCCCAACCGCAAAGCAGGAAAGTTTCCAAACACTCCCAGGAGGTCACCAAGAGATTTTTTTACCAACCCTAATTTCACATGGGCTGGTCCAATCCTATCTTACCAGCCAAGATAAGGCAATGGCAATCAGCCCCTGAGAAACCTTCAAAACACAAATTAAAGGCACACAAAGACAGTGCAGGAGTCCCCAGCCTGGAATTGGGGTTTCTCTTTCTGCCTCTCCCCTCACCCACCCTCCTCCAAGTGGCCCCGGCAATGGAAGCTGGGGAAGGGAAGGGCAAGACCACATTATGCCCTCTCCCAGGGCCGCCGTGCGGCTGGGCGGTCGTGGGGACCTGGCGCTCAGCTCCCCAAATCCACGGCGCGTCCCCGGCCGGGGCTCGGCGCCCCCCACCCCCCAGGCCCGCAGCCGCGTCTCACCATCACATAATGGCGCTGCATCTCCGTCTTCTCGTTCGCCAGCTTGTCGTACTCCACTTTGAGGCTGCGAGGGCAGGAAGAGCCGGCTGAGGCCTGGCGCCTGCACAGTCTCCCGAGGCCCCGACCCCAGGGCCTCTGAGAACCACTTTTCCACTTCATCGACATCCCCCCCCGGGGGCGTCCCCATTATCCTGCAGCCTGGGGGCGCAGGGAGATTTGGGTCCCCGAGGTGGGGAGGGAGATGTGAAACAATTCGAAACTTCCAGCCAGAGGACTTATCCCGGCCGCAGGGGAGCAGGACCCTGACGCTGGCTCCCGACACCCAGAACCCGGAGCGAACCCGCCCGCGACCCAGACCCTCATTCGGGGACCCCACTGGCGGCGCTGGGAGCCGGGCGGCTGCGGGCAGTAAAGGGTTAAGGCGGCGCGCTCGGAAAGGGGAAACAAAAGGCGGAGGCCCCGGCTGCCCCGCCGCCCCGGGGTCGGGAGCCCCCTCCGTCCCCGCGGGGGATGGCAGGAGCCGCGCCGGAGCCGCCCCTCCCAGCCAGCCCCCGGGCGGCCCCCACCGGCCTTACCTGTGATACTGAGCTTGCAGGAACTGGAATTCGTCTTTGATCCTGTCACAAGACTCAGCCACCGTAAATTTAAATCCCGGCTGCCCAGGTTGATGGGGAGCCTGGAGCCCGCGAAGACAAGACAGGGGAGGGGGTGGGGGCATGAGACGGCGCTCAGAGCGGCCCCGGCCCCTCCCCGCCGGTGCCCAACCGGAGAGGCCACCCTCAGCCCAGAACCTTCCCAGCAAGTTTCTCAGCTCTCCGACGGGGCGGAAGGGGGGCGCCCCATCTCTCCCCGTAGGCAGCGGGGCTCCCATCCCTTTCACCAAGGGCCTCCCTCTCCCCAGTAATGCGGGGGTGGGAGGCACGCCGGTGAGTTGGGAGACTTAGGAGCGGGGCCGGAGACCGCGTGAACAGCTCCCCCTGGAACAGAGACAGCCCCCCTCGTCACTTGCGCGGAATTAACCTCCTCTCTCAACGGCGCCCCCAGTCCCCATCCCCTTTGTGTGAGCACACACACACAAACACACACACACACCATAGAGGTAGCAACAAGCAAAATGGAGGTGCCAGATAAACTGCCTCGTTTACCCTGCCATGATAGATGCTTAAATAAACCGAGTTGCAATTACTCACCGGATGTCTGCCCTGCGGATACATGGCAGGGAGGGGTCGTGATTCCGAGAGCGTGGAAGCGCCGAGAGCCCGGGCCGGGGAGGTGCGGGGGAGGGGGGAGCCAAGCCCCAGCGGGGGGCGGCTGGGAAACCGAGAGCTCGCCCCCGGCCCCCCCAGCTCGCTCTCCCAGCGAAATCCCAGAGTCGGGCGCCCGCCCCAAGTGGAGACAAAGAGCCGCGGAGCAGGCGGCAAAGTCGTCGGCGGGCGCCGGGGCCGGGCGGCGGGCGCGGGCTTTGTGCGCCTAGGGTTCGGCGGGCAGCGGCCGGCAGCCTTCCCCGGGCTGCGTGGAGCGCGTCAGTGCCCGGGGCTGCGCGGACATCGTCGGCTCCCCGGCAGGTCCGGAGCGGGGTCCCGAGGCTGGGGGCCCCTCCTGGGGCGAGCTCGGGCCCCCTCCGGGTCACTCAGCGCGTCGCGCCAGGAGGGGGGCGCGCCGGGACAGCCCCAAGCATCCGGGGCGCGTGGGTCCGATCCCAGAGGCGGCCGGGCCTGGGGCTCGCGGCAAGAAGAGGAAGGAGGCGGGCAACGAGGTGGCGGCTTGGGGCCGCAGGAGCGCAGGAGGGTGAGGGCGGGAGCCCGGCGCGGGCGCTTCGACGCCCCCCCTCGGAGAGCAGAGCCTGCTGTTCCGTCTGCTACTGCCGCCGCCGCCGCCGCCGCTGCAAGCCCTTCCCAGGGCCGGGGAGGAACTCCGGGCTCAGTAGATGCAAATCAAACGCCCTGGCATCCTAACTCCAGCGGGCACGGGAAGCTTCCGCAAAGGGTCCTCGCTGCTCCCAGCTCGAGCTCCGCGTCCCCAGTGAGGAGCGCTCGGCGACACCGTCGCTGCCGCCTCGGAGCGCACAGGCAGGAGAGCGCTGGAGGGGAGACAGCCCGAGACCGGGGAGCTCTGCGGCTTCCTTCCTTCCCCTCGGCCTGGCTCTCCTCTCCGCGCCCCGGCAAACCCCCAAAACACACACCCAACACACACACGCCAAAAAAAAAAAAGTGCCCCGGACCTACGGATACCACACACAGACAGGCGAGGGGGACGAGCACGAGGTCTGAACTGCCGCGAGAGCAGTTCCAAATAGGGACTGAAAAGTAACAAAATAATGTGGCAGCCTCGTCAGGCGCTGGCCAATGGGAGCGCGGGGCCCCCACGTGGGGCTGCGGGACTCGGCCTGCGACTGGGCGCCGCCGGGCGCGACGTCACAATGCCCTCTTGTGTCTAAAACTATGCATGAAAAGTAGCAATCAGGCCCTACCCGCTGGTGACTTTCGCATGGGAGTGAAAAACAGCGCTCCTCAGATCAGGAATTAACAGAAAGACATATAATAAATAGATATATATTATAGTCCTGGGCTGCTAGAGGTTTTTTACTCCTCTTTTTTTTCCCCACGATCTACTAGCAAATAATTATTCGGCGGGAGGAGGAAAGAGGGAAGACAGAGGAATAACAACAAAAGAAAAAGACAAGCTGTACAATCCTCAAAACCTGTGGCTGGTAATAATGTATCAGTTCATTCCGCAGCGAAGGCGAACGATTCCTCCCTCTAATCTCATTAGGTCTGCAAAGCGGCCCAATTAGATACAATAAAACAAACAGAATCACTTTGTCACTTTAATGTTTTCACTTCAAAAGATTTAGGACCGATAAAATGGTGGCTCCTAAAGTTGCCTCCGACCTTTAAAAATCTGCTCGGAACTGAGGATGTCCCCTCTTCGGCACCCCTTCCTCGGCCCGCCTCCCCGCCCCCCTTAGCCCCCAGCTCTCCTTTGTTCACTTGCCCTTCTTTTCAGAAAGCCAAATAAACAGTTCCTTTGATGTGCGGCGGGTGCCTGCGAGAAGTCTGACGGACTCTGGCTTGGCGGGGAGCGCGGATGGAAGGGCCCGGCAGCCCGTGGACAACAGGCTCAGCCACCGCTGGCCCCACTCGGGGCGCCTTCCCCGTGGGAACGGCTTCGCCCTCGCCGCGATCTCGGCGCGCGGGCTCCTCACTGCATCCGCGGGCTGAGGACTGGGGATGGGGTCGGGCCCCCTGCTCGGCCGAGGCCCCGGAACTCCGAGTTCCCACCGGCTTGCTCAGCCTGCTCCCGGCAGTGTCACGGCGCTGGCGGACGCCTGTGAGTGTCTCGGTCGCCAGCCTAGACCCTCCGGGGCACGCGGACGCTTCCGCCGCCAGCGCCTCGCCCACCCCTGTCCCGCGCCCCCGGGACTCCCTGCTTGGTCGCACAGGCCACTCCACTCCCCGGCCAGCTTGCCCGCAAACCGACGGCCTCGCCTTCCGGCGCTCGGGGTTACGGCGGGGCAGACGGGCCAGCAGGGAGCGGCCCTCGGAGCGCGCACCGCCCGCTGGGCGGCCCAGGCGGGACCCCCAGGGCCCTCCCCGGCCTGTCCGCAAGCCCGCACGCACCCCGGGGCCGGCGGCGGGCGCGCGCGAGCCGGCTGCGCGCCCCCGGATCTATATTTTCCCCTCATTAGGAGCCGGAGGTTCGCTTTTGCATCTTAATGAGGAGCGGAGAGCTAGCGGGCGCTCGGAGGCCGGAGCGCGGGGAGTTACACGTGAGCACCCGCCTCAGAACTGAACCTCCCCACGCCCGCTCCGGCCGCCAGTCCCGAACCGCGCTCCCCTCTTCATTTATTTATTCTCCTAAATAAAAACATAAATCGTGTTTCGGCGCGCACCGAAGGCTGGGGGGAGGGAGAAGCCTGGCTCGACAGATGCGAGCATCTGGCCGCAGCATTCATTAGACACAAAATGGCTCCTCTTCGGAGCTTCCTTTCCCCCTCCTCTTTCTCTGCCCTCCCCCTTACGTCACGGGTGGGCGCACCCGCTTCCTACCCGCCCCGCCCCTTTCTCGCTCCAGCCCCCACGTGGGGCACGCCGACCACGCCCCCGAGCAAGGTGCGCGCCACCAATCACGGATCGCCGAAGGGGCTCTTCGTTGCTGATTGGCGGAACTGCTGGGTGCTGTCAGTCCGCGGCCAGAGCTGTCAGTCAAAACCACGCGGGGTGGGGGAGCGCTGACAAATGCCGAGGCTTCTGAGCCTCCCGCTTGCAAATAGTGCTTGGAATGGCTGCTTAATTAGCTTTGAATGGCTTTTCCTTCCAGCTCAAACAATCTGTCACTACCATGTGGTATAAAGGAGCCATGCATAAAAAAGTAAGCAGAGGCTAAATATCAATTTGATTTTGTGTATCAAAGGAATATTTTATTTTTCTCCCTAGTAATGAAACGTATCAATTTAAATAAAAAAAGGTAAAAAAAAAAAAAAAAAAAAAAAAAAAAAAAAAAAGAAAAAGAAGGAAAGAAACAAAAAGGAAAAGGAAAGGGGGAAAAAAAGAAAGAAAAAGAAAACCCAAACTCCACGGTATTCCGACTCCTGCGCACGCCTGAAACAGGTCACTTCTACAGCCCACGTTCTGGAGGAAGCCTGAAGACTTCCCCCTCCCCCTTTAAACTTGCATTTAGGGTTTTGCTGTCGTCGTCCTCCAGAAGTCCACCCCTCTTGGAGGGGTGGGGGGGCTGTAAAAGGGGACGTGGGGGCGGGGAGGGGGGCGAACTTTAAATGGAGCTCTTTGAAGCTGCTACTCAAAGTAGACGGGGTTTTAAGACCCCGTAAATTGGGGGTCCTACAGCAGGTCTCGATTTGGGAGCCCAGAGGGGAGGGGGATGAGAGCGGCTGTGCGCCTCGCTCAGATTTATTAAACACAATGCCTTCAAGATACCAGAGACGCGGCGCCTCGCCGGGCCTCCCTCTCCGTCTCCCTCCGGACTGGCTCCGACGGCGCCCGCCCGCAGGCGGCCGAGAAGCCCCAGGGCACCTAGGTCGGGTCTTACGAGGACTGTGTACAGAAAGGCACAGCTGCTGTGTCTCTGGCTTGGGAGTCCCTCCTGCCCCGACGTCCGCGCCCCTGGTGACCACACGACCCAGCGCGCTCCCGCAGGGCAGACCCACGTGGAGTTCACCTGCGAAGCCCAGCGCCAGCGCCGAGCCTGGCACGCCGGAGAAGTTCGCGGCTGCGTGTCCCCGACGCGGTTTTGCAGAGCGCCGCCTCCTCCGCAGAGCCGGGCGGTGGAACCACGCCACGCAGTCAGGAAGAACAGCGCTTGAGCGCTCAGTAGGTACAAGGCAGGGCACTGCTCCCCAGGCAGCGCCCCCCTCTTCCTTACCTCACTCCCGAAGGAAGCAGTTTGGCCGGGGACTGCATTTTATAGAGCGAAAAAGAGAGGCTGAGAAAGCTGTCATTTGCCCCGAGCTGGGCAGAGTGGTCAGGATTCGAATCCAGGGCAGCCGGTTTAATGGCCAACCTCAGCGACCCCTTTGCTGAAGCAAGCTGAATACGTACGAGCTTTTGTTGAAGAAAAGACATTCATTCATTCATTCATTCATTCATTCCCAGCCCTTTCTGAGAGTCTGGCTTTAGAAGAACAGGCCCAGCTCTCCTGCCTGTAGCTCCCACTCACTCCTCACCCAGCGTCACTCACCGGCTGCCTGAACCCTGAGCAGGAAGGGGGCAGGGAGGTAAGGAACCAGGCCAACATCCCTTTAAGCTTACCACCGCTATCCGCCCCCCCCCGTCACATGCCACCCCACAAATTAGGAAAAACAAGGAGAAAAATACATGTCTTTTATGCTGGAGAAAGAGAAAAGAAAATAAAAAACATGTATACAACACCCCGTCCAAAGGCTTGACAATTATTTTAAAGAAGGAGGGGAGTCGACAGAAAGAGTTCAAACGTCTCTGTCTCCAGTTCTAATTGGAAACGTTTCAACTGTTTATGTTACAAGAAGTGTCAGGGTCATTTGCTACCGGAGAGCTGACTTTTCATTGGCTGCTTAATTGAGTACCTCGGAGTCCACCCCACGTGGGAGAGGAATTCCTGGCACATTAAAAAAAAAAAAAAAAAAAAAAAAAAGTCACCCGGTGAGACAGAAAGCCCGGCCTGGATTTCCAGAGCAGAGGCTCCCCAGCCCCCAGCCCCTCATTTGGGGTGCAAAGTGGCTGATGAGAAACTGTCTGCCAGTCCGAAGAGCCACTTCTCTGGTTTTTTAGAAATATTCGTCAAGCACTTTTTAGCTGAGCTAATGTATGTTTTGCCCCCTTTCTTAGGAATTAAAGGGTATGTATGGCTCAGGCCAGCCACCAGGCTGTGGTCACCTATTTGAGGAACTGATCACAGTGCCTTGGGTGGGGTTGCAAACCTCTCCCTGTCATTCCTTTCTCTAGTGCCTCACTGGCTTTGATTTTTGGAAGCCTCCTGCTGGAACTGCTCAGTGAGGACAGAAATCTCCCTCACCATGCCCCGATCCCTTGGTTGATTCTATAAGCTTCCTCCAATTCTTGAGGTTTATCTTCATGACTAGGATTATTCTGCCCCCCACTCCACCGCTCCACTCACCCGGCATCCCAGACCTTCCTCTACGAGCAAGCACCTGGACATAGAGCAAAAGGAAGGGAAATTTTTACTTATTTAACAAACTCTTACATAGTGCTCAAGCTGTGCACAGTGCTATTCTAAGCACTTGACAAACATGAAGACATTTAATACTCACACAAGAAATGAAGTTGGTGCCATGGGTATCACCCCCGTTTTGTAGACTGGGCAATTGATACACAGTGGTACAATGATGTGTCCAAGGTCACGTTGATGACTGATGGACTGAACCCAGGCAACTGGGTATCAGTATCCCTCCTCTTAGCTACTACACCCTGATGTGTCTACAAGCTTGGCTTTCCTGAGAATGCAGGCCAGAGCCACAAGAGGTCACAGGAACCTGGAGGGCCCAGAGGGTCCCAGAGGGAGCCCCCATAAAGCTTATCCTGCAGCCACCTCATCTCAGGCAAGGAGACTGAGGCCAGTGGAGGTAGAAGACTTCCCAGGGTCTCCCAACTCGTCTTCCCATTCTCTGACTGGTTCAAGCTATGTGACCTTGGGGGACTTATTTAATCTTGCTAAGCCTCCATTTCCTCATCTGGAAAGTGGAGATAACAATCCAGTACCTGAGAGGATTGTCCTGAGGATCGATGGAGGTAATGCATGTGGTGTACTTAGTGCAGAACCTGGCACATTAAGTGATCGATAACAGT